ATGCAAGAGACAGACTCCCATTTCCTTTCTAATAAACAGCTCTGGATACTGGCACCATAAGAAGGAAAGGACTGCACAACCGGAAACTGGGCATCCATTGAGTTTTATTTTTTCCCTTTTTGTGGACTAGATACACCTAACATAGTACATAGCTGGAAAATTCCACCAGCTCCTCAGTTCAGCCTGATCCTGCTCTGCCTCACCAACTCTTCAGACAGGTCTCAAGGCTGCTGCCACCTCATCTTTTCCAGATGGGGAGCAGCCCTGGTCCTGCACTCACAAACTATGGTCGTCACTGCTGCTCCAGCTCCCTCTATCTGCTGGGAAAAGCAGCCCCCACAGCCCAAAGCTTTATGTTTCAGCTGTAGAGTGACAATTTCTGGTTTTTCCATTCCCAGCCCAAGCCTTCCTCATGAGCCCCAGATCTAGATACCTATCTTCATATGTATATCTTATTAAAGGCTTGGACTACAAAATGAAATCTCTCAGCATGAGCTCCCCAAGGCCTTAGTCTTGCTTCATTCTCCCAGTTGCTTGGAAGCTGGCTAATACTGTCAATTTGACATGATTTTTAATCATGAAAGAGACAAGCATGCCCATGAGGAGCAATCTAGATGAAGTTCACTGAAGTGAGAAGACTTACCCTAATATGAATGGCTCCACTCATGTCCTCCAACTGTAAAAGGAAGGAAGGAAGGAAGGAAGCAAGCAAGCAAGCAGGACTGGAGATATGGCTCAGAGGTTAGGAGCACTGGTTGCTATTCCAGAGTACTTGAGTTCAATTCTCAGAACCCACAATATGACTGTTCACAACTGTCTGTAACTTCAGTCTCAGGGGATTCAACACTGTCCTCTGGTCTTCAAGAGTACCAGGCATGTACATGGTATACAGATATTCACGCAGGCACAAATAAAACTTTTTGAGTAAGAAAACCATTTTTTTTAGAAGGAGAAGGAAGAGGCAGAGGCAATGGCAACCTTTATTCATCACTCTCTGCTTCCTGACTATGGATGCCTCAAGTTTTTGACACCAAGACTTCCCCACCATGATGAACCAAAATAAATCCCTGTTTACTTAAGCAGTTTTGGGTCAGTTATTCTGTTGACTAACAGAGGAAACATCCTCAACAATTCTATCTCATCTCCAGTCCATCAGGGAACTCTGGAAATTCTGCCTTTAATACATGCCCCCCCCCCTCAAAGCCTAATCCAACCATCTGTCACTACTGTTTTCACGCTGGCCCAAACACTGTGGCTTTCACCTGAATTGCTATAAACTGGCTTCTCTCAGATCTACCAGATTTACCTATACCCACCTAGATCAAATCATGCCATCTACTGCTTTGCTAAAATCCCCCTTTGTTTCCTGAGCTTCCAGCATCATAAAAGCCAAAGTTGTTCAGAGGCATAGGGTCTTGCATGATCAATGCTTGTCCTACTCCTTGTGCTTCCTCTCTAACCAAGGACACTGTTGTCAACAAGCCTTCTTACAGCAGATTCCCTTTCTGAAATACGCTTTCACTACCTACTAGCTCCAACTCCTTCTAATCTTCAGTCACATGTTACCTTTGCAAGATTACCCATGCTCACCACTTGTCTCAACACTACAACCAGGCCTCCTTTTCCTTACTCCCAATACTGTAATCTGTCCTGATCATTTTTTTCCACCCCAATTACCACTTTCTGGGATTTAAAAATCACTGTCCTCCTGTGCTTATGGCACAGGGCACATCCTTTCCTGGCTAGAAGGTAACATCACAAGTGTAGACATTTTAGGCTATTCTATCAATTTGTCCCAAATATCTAGAACTCTACCTAGCAAAAAGTATTTATGTTATATGAACGACATGCTAAAGACTAGTGAGGAGCTTGGTAATAGGGCTTCTCATCCTGGCTCAAGCGAAAGCTTTGTTGTAGGTCACAGTGTTCTGAGTTCCTAAAGAAAGGCAAATGAGGCCAAAGTGAGGGCTCTCCAAAACATAGTCCAGGTGACTGCAGTAGGTGGGTACACACAGAGGGCCCTAGTTCATTCCTGACCAGTGGTCTTCAGATTTGAGGGCCATAACCAAAGAGCCTGGAAAAGAGGAGTCCCTCATACAGAGAGGTTAATGCCTGTCCACAGTTTCACAAGAGCTAGAGACAGAATCTGCACCATCCTGGCAACCTATCTCTGGATCCAGCAATTTCTGTTACTAACCATCTGCCAGTACAGTGTAATAATGTGTGTACATAGGAAGCAAGGACTCAGAGAAGAGGGGAAATGAGGTGGGAGAGGTTCTAACAGGGCCAAGAGAACAAGCAGGCACCTGCCAGGGAAATGAGATCATGGAGTGGCATCACAGAAAGAAAGGGTTCAGACAGTCAGGTCCAGGAAACTTAACTTAGTCTAGCAAGCCAGAGCTCCAACAAGCAAATAGTTGGGCAGAACCAGAAGTGGAAAAAACATCTGGTGAAAGCTGGGAATTAAAGCAAAAGCAACAGTTTGCTGGTGGCTAATCTGGTAAGCCATCCTCAGAACCTGGGTATTAGCTTGACATCAATACTTCCCAACCCCAGATACACAATAAAGTCCTTAGAGATTCGAAAAACATTACTACCTGCTAGAAATGATGTTTTATCTGGTTACAACGAGCACCCCTAGTGTCATGTTGTGGTTCCCAAATCACTTTCCAGGCAAAGGAACCAGGCTCCTTGGTATAGTACAAGATGGATCCAGAATTTTGTCACTGCAGACAGCAAGGAGCTGTTAGTGAATCCTGGGTTCCACAAGTGCTCCAAGGGGGGGTCCCACAGGCCAACAGTGATTCCAGGAAGAAGTAAGGACAAAACTTCAGTGCACTGGGACACATACCACACATTAAAGCCACGAGGCTCAAGGTGACCACTATTGATGGTGTTTAGAGCTCTTGATTTGCTGTGTTTTGGGAAAAGTGTATGTATATGTATAAGCATATGAAGGCTAGAAGTCAATTTCAGGTGTTGTTCCTCAGGTATCTTTCACCTTGATTTTTGAGAAAGTATGTCACTGAATTTCATACTCATCAAATAGGTTAGGCTAACTGATAATGTCCTCTTCAGCACTGTGAATATAAGAGCTCACTGCCACCGGCTTTTTTTTTTTTTTTTTTTTGGTAGGTGGCAGATCTTCATGCTGTGTGACAAACATTTTACCAACTGAGCTATCTCCCAACCCCAAATTGGCTATCTTGAAACATAAAATATAGGAAAAGCTTTCATCAGTCAGTTTCTATTTGAACTTTACTCTTAAAGTAGCCATTGAAGAAGTAAAGAAAGTGATCCAATTAGCATGAAGAAGAGTAAAATTAGAATGCTGCCATGTCGAAAACCTTCACTCCTCAACAGATTTAGGCCTCTCTCTCAGGATGTAGCTCTCTCAACTACATTTCAGCACCTACCTGCATGCTGCTATGCTTCCCTTCCCACCATGATAATAGTGGACTAAATATCTGAAACTGTAAGAAAGACCCCAGTTAAATGCTTTCTCTTACAAAAGTTGTCATGGTCATGGTGTCTCTTCCCATAATAGAACAGTAAGACATAAATCCTTAGTCATTTTTTGGTTTTATTTTGCTTTAAAGAGCACTTACTCTTTAAAGATACATACTAAAAACTTCACAGATGAAACAATTTTGATAGTTGATAATTGCTATAAGCCACTGCTGAGGGGAGGGTGGAAGCCTGGGCTAGTCACTGTTGAAGTGGGGTGAGAGGCACATGAGGGCGCATTACATTATACAGCTGACTTTTACTTTTTTAGTAGACTGAACAGTCCATAATAAGTTAAAAAAAAATAGGCTCTACTCTCAGAGATTCAAATTTATTACTCTGGGTTTCAGCTTGGGCATTGGCAGTTTTTAAGGCTCCCATGTGTTTTTAATCTCCAGTCACGGTTGAGAACTAGCTTGATCATTCAAGTGAAAGATGCTAGAGCTTGTGTCAGAACCAGGACTGAGGCAGAAGCCACAGATGCTGAAAAGGGATCAAGGGGTCAAGGAGCTGAGCACCTGGTCCCTGAACATGGGCAAAGAATGAGGAAGACAGATGAATTAAGGCCACTGCAAAGACTTTAGCTTCCAGTAACTGGGGAGCCAGGTACATTCTTGGGGCTGAGAGTTTCGAGAACCTGGGAGAAGTGACTGCATGTGTGGGTATGTTGACTTGGTAGAGGTGGTGGAACTTCAGTGTAGATGTTTACCCTATAGCTTTGCTTATTGGTCTAGAGACAACAGGGAAACTGTGAAGAGACATAAAAACTTGAACCCTGTGGGGAAGCAGCCTAAACAGAGATAGAAGCCATGTGAGTCTCTAAGAAATAATAGTGTCTTGATCCTGTCCTTGACAGGAAATCCAAGCTGGCCCCACTCCCTTCACAGGGGTTCTCTATTGCTCTTCCTCTGCCACCTAAAGTCCCTAATCTCCATCCCCAGATAGAAATCCAAAGGGTAGTTGTCTAGGCTATGAGCTTAGGGGTCTTGACCATCCTGATCAAAGGCGAATGAACTCCTGAGAATTTTCATAATCTCCTTTAAAGCTTATGCTTTTGTTAAACAAATGAGACACAACACAGCTGAAGGAAGTTCTGGAAGCATCCGGCACAGCCACCTGATAGAGACAGTGAGGGCTGGCTGGAAACAGCCAATGGGCACTCACTGAACAAGAGTTTACTGATTGTGCCTTTGTGTTTCGGAAGCTCTGCTAAATGGGGTGAACAAGAAACTCAAAAGACAAAAGTTTGCATTTCCTGGAGAAATAGACAGTAAACTGGTGGACAAAGATACTAGCTGTGTATTTTACATGAAGTATCTCAGTTGGAGGAAGGGCACCAGCATCCAAGAGCTACCTCAACATTAAGAACCTTCTCATGTAGTAAGAGTTTAAATATTTCAGGTTTCAAAACCATCAGGTTTATCTTTATTTCCTTCTGACAAAAACCAACTGCTGATCACTGAAAATCCGAGGGCCACTTGGCGGGAACTTACCACTAAGTCCAGAAACTGAATGTAGCACTCCAGTCCAGGCCTGGTTTCACAGAACTGCCGAAAAAGCAGTCTCCCAATTGGTTGCTTGTCACATAGACTGCAGTAATCTCTGTCTGGAGACAAGAAAAGTGTGGTGAGAGCAGGAGAACACTAGGCAGGGCAATGTGTTACTCTATAATTGTGCCAAGAACTCTGGATAGATGAGGCCAGATAATGGTGGACGTAAGCCATTATTTCATAGGATCTGGACAGAGAGACAGCAGTCTAAAATAGAGAATGGTGCCAGGCCAACCTAGCTGTTTATGACTTCTATACAGAGACACGAGTGGTGCTGGCAATTATGCATCTTCTCTGGCCAGACAAAAAGAAAAAGCCTGATTCTGGCGACTGGATGAGGGTGGCAGGCTCATGGCCTATACCAACTCAGCTGGCATTCCCTCTTGCTCGGGAAATCAGTGCCTACAACAGTGTCCGGGACCTTGCCTGGAAAGCTGCTGTGAGAATGGAGCTGAACCAGGAGGGCAGAACTGAAAAAATAACAAGCAGCAGAGTTGTCCCCTGGTGATGTCCAGACCTCTGGATCAAACCACGCCCACAGCCCACAGCAAATCTGAAAAGCTGATTTCTTAGGGCAGTTTGAAAAAAAAATTCTAAATTACTTATAATTCAAAGCATCCTAGTATATACAATTTTCGCACTGGGTTTTTTGATTTTTTTTTCCTTCCATTTTTACCCATTTGGAGAAAAGCCCACACTTTGAATGCTTCAAATAAAAACTGCATTTCCCATATGAACAGGCATAGAAACAGGAAGTGACACGCCTTCAGCCACTCAGTCACCAAGAGGGTTCTGAAGAAGAAACAAGGTGAGCCACCCAACCCTAAGGCCAGGAGCTGGAGTCCTAGCACTAGATGCTTTATTACTTCAATGGCTCATCCCATCCTCTCTTTGACATTCTTTGTTTTTCCTCCTATGAAAACAAAGCACATATTTGGGGCTAGGACTAGGATTCTTTCCCAGCAATAACACTTAAGATTTTTTGAGCTTTCCCTGGACAGAGGATGCTTGAGGAAATGACCACTGAGCCATGCTGTCCCAGAGGCTCCAATCTTCCAATCCGCAGCGGTCCCTTAAACTTAAAGTGCTTGGAAGCAACTTAGTGGAAAGGAAGAGGTGAGTCCTAGGCAGTTATGGAACAAGGATAATCATTCACTAGCAAGGGGGGAACCTATTATTAGCCCAGATGTAAATCTTCTTTATTCTACACCATCTTCTCTTCTAGGGAACATCCTCTCCCCAAGTCTGAAAAAATCCCCACCAAACCTTCTAGTTTGGGGAGGCTGGTGCTTCTCAAGTTCTGAAAATGGTTTGTGACTCGACCCTAGCAAATCAGAGTCACCTGTCTTCCAGCTATAATGACAGGTTCAAGACAGAGCAAATGCAGCCAGGAGGTGGTGACACACACCTTTAATCCCAGCACTCAGGAGGCGGAGACAGGCTAATCTGTGAGTTTGAGGTCTTTCTGATCTACAGAGCACGTTCTAGGATAGCCAGGGCTACACATGGGGGGGGGGGTAGAAAGGGAGGGAAGGAGGGAGGGAGGGAAAGAGAAAGAGAGTGCAAATGACACAGCCCAATCCAATCAGAATCTTCATTCTCCCCACTACAATGATAATGATAAGGTCAAGCATGGGCACTTGACTCAGTAATAGCCAAATTGGAGGTCTATTTACTGGCTACAGCTATAGGTTCAGAAAGTGTCCCACGCCCTGGACCTAGCCACTAAGGTTAGGGCATGTGTCCTTAGCCCTGGAGCTGCTTCTAGAACTTCCTGGAAAGAGGCCTGCTTATCTCAACAGTGCTGAGGATTTAAGACTGATGATATGGTTTTTTTTCTTCCATGCCATGCCACTAAAGCCCAGCCTAAGGCCCAGGCATTCATATCTGACAGTAACTACAAAGAGTAGACATATGTGGGAATTGCCGCCCCAAGTTACATTTCCCTGCCCCCATTTGAGATGCTTATCTGCAAAGAAAACATAACTTCCCTCTGCTCCTGGAGTTGGGTAAGGAAGTTTGAGTGCATGTGATCATTCCTTGATCCCTGCTGGGGTCAGGTAACAGTCCCTGCTTGGGTCAGGTGACAGTCCCTACCGGGGTCAGGTGACAGTCCCTTCGCAGCCCACTCCTCTTTTGGTGCTGCGGTATAAAAGCTAGCCCCAGCAGAACAATAAACAAGAAGCTGTTCCACCTCAACCTCAAGCTCTGTGAATTCATTCAACCTGGACACCCTCTGCCGAGACTCGTGGTTCCAGCCCGTGCTGGCGCGGCAGACATATATTGTTCTTTTCATGAACAAAGGGCTCAAAAGTAGGGGTTATTTTTGAGGGAACTCACAGGTTATAAATCTATGTAAAAGTTGCTCACTAATACAGTTTTATGTAAAGTGAATACTTTAATTAACATTAATGAGGCAAGTGCAAAGCCTCTTCCTGGCCCCTTCCCAGGTGCTTCAGTCCAGACCATCACTAGACTTGTCTTAACTCTGCCCTTCAATGTGGGCACAGGCTCCACATCTCCAGGTACAGATGGTTCACAAATAGTCACTACATCAAGAATTTGGCCTCAGTGTGTGTCAGATTCTGAATGGATGAAGGAGAGGGCTACTTGGGTGAAAGGAACAAAATGGGTGCATGTGGGTGAGCAGATATGATCCCAAGTGACAATTATGAAATGGCATGCTAGATGAGTGTGGTTGTCAGTCACAGGAGGAATCCTGGCCACTGTGGTTCATGGCAGGTCTGTGGCCTGCACCTGTTAGCACAAGGCTCAGTCTACAATTCACTGTTCACTGCGCCCAATTCTGCAGCCCCCACACGCAGACTCTGGGGTAAGAAAACAAACCTTTATAGCTTCCCTCAATCAAGGAGCTTTCCCTGCAGAATCCTGGAACCAGAGAAAACTACCATGGATCAAACATCAATGTCACTCAGTTACAGGAAAGAGCACAATACCTCTTATTTGATTTGAGCAATGAAACCCCATTTCCAAAAGCAATTATGAGATTTCATATACCATATTGTGACTCCATAAGAGTTCATCTTACAGAATTTCTCCCCCCTGCATATGGTATTTCCTGCCAGTATGGAAAGAAGGCTGACAAAAACACAGGCACAGGAAACATTACGTGATTCTGGCATAAGCTGTCAGGACCACTACCACCAGCAACCCCTTTTACTGCTTCTCCCAACCATAAAGAAGATCCCAAGCAAGAAAGCTACTTACTAGCTGTCTAGGAAGAAAAGAACCAGTCACTGTCTTTCCAGGCTTTGTTCTCAGCCTCCAATAAGGATTATCTATTCTTATCCACAAAAGCAAGTGGAAGTGAAATTCCTTCAGAATAGATGAAGCCATAGTGAGAAGAATATGGGCAGGGGAATGGTCAAGGTGAAAGAAGGAATTACAAAGCAAGTTCTCAGTGTGGTGGCGAAAGCTAATGTGATGGGAAGATAGTCCCTGCAAAGGCTGATGATAATAAAGCTGGAGACACAAAAAGAACTGGCTGGATGGACTTGGGGTAGACTCTTTCTGATCTGTAATAGCAGTCGCTGGCTGTGCTAAACATGGTCAGATTTTCAGCATTGCCTGGGAAGTGTCAAAAGGCCAGAAGGCTTTTCTCTTTCTCTCCAGCTGGAAAATCTGGGAAGATATACACATGGGGAACAGGCATACTGCATATGTACTACACACACACACACACACACACACACACACACACAGCCCCTCTTATAAAACCTGAAAACTTGCTTTGGGACATGCGCATCACTGGCATGTGTAGTGCAAATTCTAATTGGTCCTAATACTAAAAACCCGGAGTCAGATATTAGAAGTGAAAGCTAAAGATCAGAGAAGCAACGCAGTCAGCCACTAAAGAGACTTCTTACCTCTACCGAATCCTCAAACCAAATGTGGAAAATCCTGTCTCTATCTGAATCCTCGGACTGAATGGGGTATCCTATGTCTACAAATCCTCAAACTGAATGCTTAAGTTTTCTTCAGTGAATCATGGCCATGCCTAAAAGCAACTTTTGAAGTCTCCAAAAGGAGGATGGAACCCCACAACGATGATTCTACCAGGACTATGATAACACCACTAAGCCAAAAAAAAAAAAAAATCACCTAAAGATGGATTTTAAATTACAAACTGCTCAGGACAGTTTTGAGGTGGCTAGTTGAATTGATCCAGCCTCACAGACTATTCAAACCAAGACTTGAGACAAATCCTGAACTTTTCCATAATGCAGAGACTGGACAACAAATGATACAGCTACCTCTCCCAGGACTAGACAATTAACCCAAATTTTTCTTTTCAGGATCCCCTAAAGATGCAATCATCCACAGAGAGTAGGAAGTAAATTTAAAAACAAAATATCCATATTCCAAAGAGGTGGGGTGGGTTTTGGTCATTCAGTGGGTTATGGATATTTGTCATTGTTTAGGGTAATTGATTACAAGTTGTTATTGGTAATGGTCAAGAAAAAGGTTGAACAAACGAGTTTAGAATCATGGTTCCCGTTTTAAAAAGAAAACGGGGATACCTATATGATAGGATATAAGGGTGGATTATAGAGAAAGAAGGGATATAGAAATAGGATAAAAAGGGAGATTATTGAATCTATTTTTAAACCAAAGAAACAACTACCAGTTTTAAATATTTTACATTGATATGTATTTTTATATATTGATACAAATTTAAGATTATTTTTATTAGAACATACTGTACACACATTTCTACTATTGTTCAAAGTATTGTACCTATACAGCTCATTTAACAGTATAATGCAAATTTCTAGTCCTTGAAAGTTATTATCGCCTATTTATGAAAATAAGGAAATGCAGGTTAGTAATTAGTCACCTATTACAATTAAACTTGTCATATTAGGTATGTTTTCAAGGTCAAACAGAGCTATATTTTAGATAGTCAGGTCATCTTCAAACACTCCAGAGATTTGCAAATATGACATTTAACATGTTTTATTAACATAGGTTCGTTTTTATGACATGAGACATGTCTGCTCCTGGCAACACCAATCTACTTCAGAGAAGATAATGG